GTAGTTTTATATACATAACATATACTCTGAAAGTAGTTTTATATAAAATCTAATAAATTTTGCGAACCTACAGATAATGACGTTAGTCATGTAATGCTCACACGGATTTTAAGTGTTTAAATTAAGATTTCACGTAAAAATAATGTTTTGTACTTTCTGTAAACGTACAAAAATATCCCTTACAAAAAATATAAATGCTGGACTTTTTGATATTGTGAATAATATCTTTACTGAGCACGAAACACCTGGTAAGTAGAGATTTTCCATGCGTAGCTTAGATGCGGCACAAGGCCGAACGTATGGGGCATCCAGTGAGGAGCGAACTCACTGTTCAGTAGTAAGTGATCTAGCAAGCCAAGCTTGCTAACCATTACACCACGCCGAGGTGTCCCAAAACGCCTGTTAAGTAATCCACGAACGAAGGTGTTGCTGTGACGATCTCTAACAAAAAACTGGCGCCAACGTAGACGCCATAGCTGGGCCATGGAACTCTCATCTTGGGCAGATGAGGTCACTTACAACAGTTGAACATCAGCTAGGAACCCTCTCAGTGGTTTCTGAAATTTTCCATTTGTGGCAATTTATGTCAGCACTTGAAAAACCTTTGGATTTTAGAGGTTTTCGGATTTGGGAAATTTGGATAAAGGATACTAAACATGCATAACGATCTTGAAAACAAAATCGAAAACATGTGGTACTTTAATACAAGTGTGCAACAATAGGTGGAATACTCATTATGATAAAAATGGACTGCCAAGAATATTATCAACTTCCCTAATAGCTCCTTTTTACAATAGATTCAAAAGATGCTCTGTGTGGAAATCTTATTTTGCGCTGCAGATTATTTTATATGTGTCTATATTTATTAGATGAGCGATTGTAACTATTTACACTATTTATAATGTTCGGACTGTTGTCCTCATCTTTATAGTCATATTCACAACGTTTCGGCCGTTTTAGGCTCCGGCCTTCTTTTGGACGAAGTAAAGAGTTCTGTTCAAAATTCCAACGCCGGAGCGTACAACGTAACCCAAACGCCGCTAACATGACAATAAAGATGAGGACAACAGTTCGAACAATACAAATAGTATAAATAGACATATATATATATATATATATATATATATATATATATATATATATATGTATATATATATATGTATGTTCATTACACACACACACACAAACACACATATTGAATGAAACCTGTCGTGTAATTTATTGGGGTTGTTTTCCTTAATGTAGTCTTTATCGCTCACCCCTTAACCACCTTTATCTAGAGACGAGACGAGTTAAATTTGAGCAACATCCAGCCGACACACTGGGGTTAAAATAGGAAACTAAAATAATACATATAACACACTCATATCCTCTCTCCCACCTCACTTCCTCACTTCGTTAACTTTGAGTATACTTGATGAGGTCCGTAAAAAACGTGTGAATTTCTTTTCATTTTTCATTTCAGCTTTTGGAAGTAAAGTCTGATGATCCAGAACCCTGTTAAAGGGGTTATGGTGAAATAGCTTATTACATGGAATCTTAACGTAGTCTGTCTTTTATTCAAACATATATGCTCTGATTTTTACATTGAGCTCTCTGGATATCATCCTCCTCAGGTCTACCCATACGGATTACCTAAATTTGCATAAACTATATATATATATATATATATATATATATATATATATATATATATATATATATATATATATATATATATGAAAGGAAGTGAACATTGAAGTCAACATTCAGAGGCGACAGTATGTTTCATGCTAGACGATTGCGTCTAGCATGAAACAAACCTGTCAACTCTGAGTGTTGACTTCAATGTTCACCTTTATATTTACATACGTTCTATCTCTGATATTGAGCACTTTATCCCATAAATATACCACACCTTATATATATATATATATATATATATATATATATATATATATATATCAATTTCGTTCTTATGTAAGACTTCTGCTTCACGCTACTTAACATCCCACAGAAACTCACATAGGCTAATAAATATCTTTGGCGTAATACCTACTCCTACTACCACCACCACCTACTACTACTACTACTAATAATAATAATAATAATAATAATAATGATTAGAAGATGAAATAAAAGAAAAAGAACAAGAAGTTGTTTAATTAAATGTTCCAAACTCAAGAGAGAAAAAACAGTAGCGACTGAATTGTTACAATTTTTCTACTTTTCTTGAAAAAAAGTACATAGGAGTGTTCATTATTTACTCATTTGATTATTTTTTTTTTCAGTAGCAGAATGTATAGCCTGGCGCTCAGATCTCTAAAGAAAAGCAATAAATAAGGATATCGCAAAGGCAAATAGAAACCAAGTGAGATTTTACATGTAATTAAATATCGAACGGTCGGGTAAAGCAACAAATTTATGCAACAAATATCTTCTGCGCGTATATCAGTGTCGCTTAAATTTAAAGCTCATCGAACCGACAATGTCAGGATGAATCAATAGGTTTCGAATATTTTATGAGAAGCATTGTCAATTCTGTAAGTAATAAAATTTAATACTTAAATTCGTTTGGCCTCCGTCGGATAACCTGTAAGACAGAGGAAAAGTGCCTACATAGTAGAAAGCATTGGTTCCCAACCGTTTTTTTTTTTTTTTTTTATGGCCTACTTTAAACCCAGGATTTTTCTGTGGCCCATGATTAATTTTTTTAATAAAGAACTTTTTAAAAAGAACAACTATGCACACAACTCGTTTTGTTTTTTTTTGTTTTTTTTTTTATTAAATCGAAACATTTCGTTTGTTCCCTTGAAGAATAAAAATTACGGTTTCTCTGTGGAATATTCGATTTGTTAGTGTCACTAATGATGCTTTTTGGTCCCATAAGTAAGTAATATTATTATTTATTCTGGGTTTGACTTCAGTGTATTAAATATAGTGAATGAGACAGGAAAAGGGGAAGCAACTCTTAATTTTGACATTTTTAATTTTGCAGGATGTAATTCATACAAGGAAATAACGTATATACTCGAGTATAGTTCGAACTTTTATGATTTTTCTGGAGAGTTTAAAATTCAGACATTTTCTGTCATCATAGTCTTCCTGATAGACCGTCATTTTCTTACTGCCTTTAGATTAACCTTTACTTAAAACGATTTTGATTATCATAATCAGAAGTATTTTCCGATAATCTTGACAAAGAAAGTTAGCATTGAAAGCCCATGTAAATACTTGGGATGCGAAGAATATGAGATTGGTAAAAAAAAATCTAATTATTTTTCATTTATATAAGATGTTTGTTGAATATAAATGACATATATTGTGGATGTCAGTCAGTTATGTGCCATGCCTTATACACGCTTAGGCGATCATCGAAAGATACATGACTGACGAGGCAGATTTCTTTCCGCAGTAGGTTGCCATTTGTTTCTGCAGTAGACCAGTTGCCATCCAAGGTTATAGAACCCGGTCTATCCTGCTATTTACCCATAGCTGGGGGGAAAGAAGAAGATTCATACCTTTCCCAAGGGTATTAGCAGGTAAGTGAATGTAACGAATTCGACTGGAAATCGAACTCGGCTCTCCGATTCCTCAATCCGAGCCGCTATCCATTACTCCATAGTGGATGAAGTGTTTTACGGAATTACGCATGCGCAAACTAGCACCTTTAAACACAAGCTAATATATACGTATAAATAAATATACATTTACTCACATAAAACATATATATCTATATTTGTTTATATATATATACGTATATATGAATGGATATCTGTTCATGTATACGTATATTTGCCTGTAATTACAGTTAATGAAACAATAAAAAGCACATATTGAAAAAATGATATGGTTGCAATAATTCGGAAGTTCAAACGTAACTGTTTTCCCACGTATACTTTAAATTATACCCATACACGCAGATATATTGGTTAAAATATCTTTTAACACGTTCTTAATTCTAAATAGTTCGCAGACCCCAATATGTAGTTCCTTCTCTCTCTCTCCTTCTATCTTGTCTCTAATTTTGCGGGAGCTAAAAATTATTGTAAATTACTTATCGATAAACTATATTTAAAAAAATCGAACTGAGATATTTGTTAATAACATTTAAGGTTTTATTGTTTCAACCAAATACTGAGGATCAATACGAAAAAAGGGGACGAATTGCATACTCTTATACATAGAGATTAGCGACAAAAGCGGAAAAACTTGAGATACGTAGGAGACAGGCTCAAGATAAAGGTGTAAACGTAGTCAGGTATGAACGAAAAGAAAAGTACGGTATCTAAATTTTTGTGCCAGATATTTTACGGTAAGCGTTTTTTTTTTTTTTGTTGTTTTTTTTCCCGCCATTTTTGGGTAGCTTTGTACGACGAATAATGAAAAGCATTTATTTACGATAAAATATGTTCAGGCTGATGCCCAGTACAGTACTAGATTCATGAGGATCCGGATATCTGAAAAACAAATCTCAAAGCCCAGTAACTAACTGGTGACATTCAATGCCTCGAAAACCAAACTAGTGGCGTGCCATAATCACTGCGTAAACCCTGAATTATTCGCCTATCGTGATGAAGGATTTTTCTCTCGAGGTTGTCCCGTGTCTTGAGCGACCATTGTAACTTAAGCTCAACTGAGACCTCAAGTACAAATATTAGATTGTTTTTATTTTTTTATTTTCAGATAATAATGGTAGATTCATAAATTTCCCAAGAGTATTTGCGCGTAAATTCAAAAAAAGCAGTTTTCTCAGTCTGTCTTAACAGGTTGTAAATCTGACGTTTCAGGAGATACAATCTATTACGGCTAGAGAACAGACTGTTTTTTAAAAAATATATTCCAGTATGAGAGACGATGAAAAGATGCGGGATAATACCAAATCAAGAATCGTTATGAAACTGATGGAACAAATTCCTACAAGATATTCACAGAAGGATTCCTTTGTTAACGAACCTGACTGAAATTGGCGCCGTTTCTACGAGTAACTATTCCAATCTATTGATCCACTACCTGCAAGTTTACAACTCCTGGTATCCCCAAGTGGTCACCCATCTAGGTACTCACCTGGCTCAACATTGCTTAACTTCAGGGGTTTGTACAAGAACCACTGTTTCAAAGTGATGTTGCCGTAAGACTTTGGACCTGGCACAGGGTGAATATTTTTGTTTATGAAAACAGTATGTTTTTTAGTCTGTCTTAAATGATTGTAGATTTGACGTTTCAGTAGATGCTATCTATTGCAGCAAGCGAACAGATTGATTTTTAAAATATATATTCCATTATAAGAGACGACGAAAAGACATGGGTTGGCGCCAAATCAAGAATAGTTATGAGACTGGTGGAGCAAATTCTTACAAATGCATAAAATATCTTCACAAATGGACTCATTTGTTAAGACACAGCACAAAGGTCTATTTGAGCTGCAAAGAAAACTTGATATATTACGATCTGTCTATATTTCTGAGATGAGGTATTATGTACATTATTTACATTATTCGGACTATTGTCCTCATCTTTGTCGTATAAGTAGTACCCTACAACGTAAAAACTACCCTGGGTACATGGCAGCAGCCCCCAAAAATTGGGATAGGCGGGTAGAAGAGGAGGAGGACAACAACACCCAGAAAACAGTCTGCCTGCCTTATGTGAAAGGGTTATCAGAGAAAATACAAAGGATCTGCGGGTCATATAACATCAGGACAACCTTCAAAAGCTTGACGACACTTCGCAGAGATCTCTCCCGAGTGAGACCCCCCCATAGAGGAGAACATAACTAAAGACTGTGTATACGCTATCCCGTGCAGCCGCGGAAAGGAATATAAAGGTGAGACAGGCCGCCCCCTAAAGGTAAGGCTTCAAGAACACCAGAAAGCTGTAACACGAGGGAAAGTAGAAAAATCAGGCGTGGCTGACCACATATGGAGAGAGAAGGGAGATCACCACCCTCTATGTGATCATGTTGAGATCATAGACAAGGAACACCATTGGAAAATTCGTAAACTTAAAGAATCAGAACATATGCTAGGCCACAAAAATCTCCTGAGCCGACCAAGCATAGAAATAAATACAATATGGGAACCAGTAATAAGGAGTGACAGAGAAAAGCAATGATAACAACAAAGTTGCAATATGAGCTCTGGTAAAAACATGCCATGATAACAGCAAAATTGGAATATGAGCACTGGTAAAATGGTTGCTGAAGACATTAGGTTTATAATACCCAGAAATTCATACCCAGATGTCCTCAAGGACACATGGAACAAGTGGATAAAGGCGTGTGAGTTCAATACCCGGTTAAGGTGGTAGAGAACATGGAGAGGGAAATTAGCAGGAGATAACTGATAACTGACATCCATCACACATGGAACGTGGAACTAGAAATAAAGGGTTCAGTTCGAAATTCCAACCATCTGAAGAAGGCCGTTGTGATAAATATGGCGAAACGTTGTGATAAATATGGCGACAAAGATGAGGACAATAGACCGAATAATGTAAATAATGTAAATTACGGAAAAGTATTAGAACTTTTCCTGGGAGCAAACCGCCTGTATACGCTCAAAAATAAGATTGAGCAAGTACAAAAGTGTGGGAGAAGACTTAATCTGTTTTCTCATCGATTATATTTAACCTTTACATCGAGTTCTTCAGAGAACTACAAGTCCCACCAGGATTTATTATTGGCAGGAACAATCATGACAACATAAGTCATGAAGATGACACCGTGCTGATAGCAGACACAGAAAGGAAACAACAGGAAATCAAAAGCAAAATGTACGAACGGAATAACCACTAATTCTTCGAATATATGTTTGCCAGCAGGAAAAAATAGCGCAAGGTTCGAGTAAGGAATTGAAGTATTGAAATTGAACTATGTGAAGTATTTTAACAGACGAAGGAAAATATGGCACCGAAATCCGAAGGTGTATTAGAATAGCGAAAGATTTTTTTTTCCGTTCAGAAAACAAAGTATTATGAAACAATTTCGTTTGAAAAAAAAGTACTGAACTGGTATAATACGACAATCTCCCTATATAACAAGATATTCTTGACAATTTCCTCACGTATAGAGAGGGTACTTGACGCAACATAAATGTAGTTCTACAGAATGATGCTGAGAATAACATGAATAGGACATGTGAGTAAAGATGAAGTCTAAGAAAAAAAAAGAAACAAATTCGATACACATAGATTCAAAATGGAACAGCGGAATTTTTGGGACACTTAATGACAAAGTAGTGCCTAGGGAAATTGACACTCACAGGACATATTGATGGCGATAGGGACTATGCGATTAACCTATCTAGAAATCTTGTGGGAATAGATTGCGGAACAGACAGTGGGTGGTGTATTAAATAACAAATAGTTCTAACAGATATGAAGTTGTGGAGAGCCATGAAAGTCTACGTTCTTAAGAGACACAAAAGAAGAAGAAGAAGAAGAAGAAGAAGAAGACGATCTTGATAACATCAGTCATGAATGACCGAGAATGCAACATTTCACGTAGTAAAACCGTATAGGAGAATAACTTAGTTTGCAAAATCGACTGATGCATTATAACGCTTACCTAAGTAAATCTGTGTGGATAACACCAAATCGTCGGGAATCAAACCCGGTGAGACCTTAATAATACTCCCCGCTCTCTATTTCATAAATAATTACTTGATTGATTGATGGGTAGGAAATGTTTCGGTACTGTCTCATCGATTATCCGCAGTCTTAATCATTTTTATCGCTGTTACTCATCAAATTGTTTAATTCGAAGCACATTTACTAACATTAAAATAGGGCAATACTTATCGCTGCATAGATAAGAAATATAGACAAAGGACTTGATGGAGAAGCGCAAGTTTTGTAAGCGTTATTTATTTACAAAGATTTTAAGCTGCCGATTATTTAAGGTTATACGTTTGACCCACTTTAACATTTTTTTGCAGAGATTTTGTGAGACTGCCAAATGTGAAAAAAAAAATCTATAGCGTAAATAAAAATGTTTTCAACCCGAATTACAAAATTTTAGGTTGGAAAATCGGGTGAATATCTTTTCAGAATCTTCTCATGAGTTGGGATCAAATACATGAAATGTGGATCCGAATCCAACAGAATGATAATATAAAAAATAGGAAACGTCTATCAATCCAACATGGTTTACTTTTATTAAAGTTTCATCAGAGAATGAGAAAGAATTGTTTTATTTTTGACTTTTTTGCTATTTGATTTCTATTAGTTCATCATGTTTCACATCCATTAAACTTGTTAAACAAATGTTAGTATGATTTTGTTGTTCCGAATTCAAGGAGAGACGACACGTGATTTCAAAGTTAAAAATGATTAATACTGTAGATAATCTATGAGACGATACCGAAACATTTCTCCATATCTCTTTCTATGGTGAAGCTTTAATAAAAGTGAAAACGTGGCGTCTATTTAAAATACGAGTAAGCACTAATAATAATATATATATATATGCGTGTGTGTGTGTGTGTGTGTGTGTGTGTGTGCTGGTATGTAGAAAAATACGAAAGAACACGTTAAGTAAATAATCCGGAGTTCTTTAGTATTTTTGTTTTTATTTTTAAAAAACAGTGCTCCATACAGAAGTAGAGCTTAAATTATAATTATTTTTTTAAAAAATATGATTACTTCGCTACACAAGAGTTCTCATGTTTCAAAAACGAGAGCCGAAACCCTGAATATAATTATTAGAATTAAATTGAATTAAAGTAACAAGCCCTGTTTCATCCTCAAGCGAAAATTTAGGAATATCCAATCTTGAAATTTACGCATCTTTATAAGTATGTTCATTCATTACTATGGAAACGGCTGAACAATTAAGTACTGTTGCCATATTTAGGCGAGAGCTGCTCAGTCTTCACTTTCAAGTCTTGAGAAAGCGTCTTTGAGTATTTGTCAGAGAAGTATTATTTTCCACCCTCCAACCTCTCACTTACAGGCGGGATGTGGCGATTCTCGCACTGCTCTATTGCTTCTTCCATAGAAAGTGCTTGGACGAGCTACATTCCTTCACGATTAGTTTGTAGATGATCTCTTGCAGTTGTTATATGTTTTGGTATGAACCTATTTCTTAAAATTTGTATATTATGTTGACGGTTTCAATATTTTCAAATGGATTTCTCATGTTGATTTCTCATGTTGATTTCTCATGTTGATTTCCTTGTAGTATTTATGTCTTATTGGGGATAAGCAGGTACATTCGTTTTTGAAGAATGTCCTGATGAGTGATACAAATTTTACGAAACGCTATAAGTAATGACCGTTTTACTTATATATATATATATATATATATATATATATATATATATATATATATATATATACATACGAGAGCAAAACACACCCACAGGAAGTCGATTTTTGTATTTTTACCAAGACAAATGAGTATTAGCAATCGTTTGTTAATACAGGCTATTAATACAGGTGTATATATATATACATTATACAAGTCAAAATGATTTAGCATTTTGTTGGGTAACCTTTTGCATTAATAACTGACTTTAATTCTTCGTGGCATGCTATACACTAAATTATTTAGTAAGTCAACTTCCTTGGCTAGGTTTTTCCAGCATTTCCTTAATTCGCGAAAAAGCTCTTCTTCTGTGCTAACTTTCCTATCACGGGCAGGCTTGTCCATTATCGCCTAAAGGTTTTTCAGTTGGGTTATGGTCAGGACTTTACTTAAACGGTATTTTTTAGTGGATAATCGTATTTGAGTAAACGCTCCGTTTATTTATTAAACAATTCTTACATAGGAATAAAGTGTCACTGCTGACAATTGTGCTTGAACGTAGATCGCAAGTGAACAAGCCCACGCGATCTCATTAAAATAGGTACATCACGTGACCATAGAGAAAACCTATATATAGAGGAAGTCGTGTGACGTATGATGCGTTCGCTTTTCCTACTCTATACTATTTGGATTGCTATTCACTTCTCACTATACGAAGTATTATTACTGCAAGTATTATCCTAAGATGTCTGATACGAGTATTATTTATCGGCGTATTATGATTGGTATCTGTCATTACAAAGTCTCTACTACGTTAGCATAGACGAAGTATATAGCAAGTATACGTTGTCATTATAACAGTGACAACAAAGGGTCGTTTCCAAGAT